TCCTAAAATTAATAATGAGTAAAAATTAGATCAAATAGATTCAAATTAATTAAAATCTAAATTATTGGTCCAATGAAGCCCAATCAATGAAAATGCACTAATAATAGACAATTAAACACAATGCACCAATTAAGATAAGTACATAAAGATAAGAAAATGCGGGAAAATAATGGCTCATCAGTAACTCAAGCAAAGATTAGCACAGGACAATAATTAAGCAAAATAAAAAAATAAACAAAATAGATATAAAATTAAAATACTTAATAAGCTAAACAATGACTTTCCTAAGAACACTGTTCCCCGACAGTGGCACCAGAAATACTTGTTGAATTATTGGCAAGAGTACCAAAATTATCAATCGCAGTATAGTATTTTGATTAAATAAAATTTGTTCAAGCGAAATTTCCCTATTCTCGCTCAAGCGACAAAGTGCTCACTTGAGCGAGTGAGTTCCAAAGAAGATTAACTAATTTTCGCTCAAGCGAAATTTTTGGCACTTGAGCGACTAACTTCCAGAGAGTTTTAACTGATTTTCACTCAAGCAATAATCTATCTCGCTCGAGCGACTTCGATGCTGAAAATCTTCTTCCTCCTTTCAATTTTGCTCCAATTATATTGACAATTATTCTCCTTACTCTTATATCAAGGTATTCTCAAATTCATCCTACATTAGGAGAAAAATATATTAGAATTGACATAAGTTAAGTGATTTCATAACAATTAAAAGCATAATTATATCAACTTTTTACCACTTAACAACTTCTCCCTATTTGATGAAGAAAAATATCTACATCTGCAAAACCAAGAATAACTAAAGTTTGTGTGCCAAGTGGTGTTAGAGTGCCAAAGTGTGTGTGTCAGGTCCTGTTAGAGTGTCATCACCAATCCTTTCTCCCTCTTTTGAATTAATCAAAACATAGGAAAATATAAAAGAATGTTCTAGATAAGGTTTAAGGTTAGAGTTATAGACCATTAGTAGAAAATGAAAATAGAAAAAGAAAATAAGTGTTTAAAGATACAGAAAAGGTAGGACCCATATCACATGAACCTTGATTGAACTGCAGATCATCCAATTTGTTGTAGATATCCCCAAGTTGATTGTTGATGTTAAATAGTTGTGTATTTGACTCATGGTAATGTTGGTAGGTCATCTGCATATGTTTTCTTTGATTTTCTTGTATGGAAAACATCTAGGATAGCATGGTCGGCTCAAACTGGGACAGGGGAGTGCCTTGGTCAGGTTGTTCATAATATGGAACCATCTCCATATTCTGAAACGTGCCAGTCATATTATCTATGTCAGCTCCTTTTGGTTGTGCAGCTTGAGACATCCCAACATCTTCTTGGGGGCATCATCTTCATCTTCCTCGTCGTCTCCCATACCAACTTCTATTTTTTAAAATCCATTATCCATCAATCTGGATAAAACCCATTTTGCATAGAGTTGAGTCATCAATTTCATTAGTATTTTTTGCAGTTCCTCATATTTTCCTATCAAATCAACTGCTAAATACCTAAAACATTTAGCATTAAGCATGGCATAAGGTAAACATAAGTCATGCACTATGATGTTGATCTGAATGCAATACATTTAGGCTAGATCTCCTTCATTTAAAAGAGCATGATTGCCCCTAGTCCTACGTAAATTTTATCTTTTTTTTTTAATATTTAGTTTGTTTTGTCTTACAGTCAGTCCAGATTTCAATAGACAATAATTCAAAAATACAACAATACAATATAGTACAAAGACTAAACTACTTAAAAGGTAAATATTACAAAACTAAACTAATACAAAAAATAAGCTACCTAAATGTTAAACTACATAATACAATACAAACAATAACTTACAAACTAAGTAGTAGAAATGTTGAACAAAAAATCTTGCTCATTGTTCTCTAATTTGTGCAATATATCATGTTCTGATAGTGGAGATGAATGAATATTGAAATACCTGAAACATTTTAACTCTTGTTAATATACAATACACATAAAGGTAAATGAACTTAACAAATGTTGAAAACAATTACCTTCATCCAAGAATCAGTTATACCCACACAAGCTATGACTCTCATCCAATACCACCATGTTTATTACACTGAATTGAGAAATAAAACATATATAATGTTATTATATTTTTGTCTATTACATGTGCTTAGAAGCATATTTTAGAAAAATTGTTAGGACTGGGAATTTTCCCCCTCTTCTTCACCTTTTTTCCTTCGTTTTCATATGTTATGTATCCAAATCTGACATTGGAGTGAAAACTTATCCTTCTTCCAACATTTTTTGTTTTCTTTTCTTCATCATCAAACCCTAAACCTTATATACTGTAATATATTCTCATCACATCATACCATATTATAATTCAAAGTACAAGTTATTATATAATTAATATACAAACAATAAAAAACATAAAAATACAGTGTATAATATTGGGTATTTCCGACGGGACAAACAGTGGGGAGATTCTCACAAATGGGTCATGAGTCAACCATATAAAAGAATATGACATCACCTTCAACCCAAAAACTTAAGGCATTAGGTTATGAGTTTTTCTCACTTATAAGTTACTCAACTTTCCCATTTCTACCCAATGTAGGACTTCAAACTCACACTTGAATTTTCAACATCTCCCCCTCAAGTGTGATTCCCTTTCACATTGGTATATCTCCCCCTCGAGCGGAAACATTTCTTAGCCATTAGTACCTTGTGATGACCTTACTTGTATCGTCGTTCAACTTCAAGTGTGATTCCCTTTTACATTGGTATATCTCCCCCTCGAGCGGAAGCATTTCTTAGTCATGAGTACCTTGTGATGACCTTACTTGTATCGTCGTTCAACTTAACGAGACTCGCTTGCCTGAAACCCTTGTCAGGAAGACTTTCTCACCTACTATACTCAACTAAGTCGGTCACTAGACGAACCATCAACTCTGATACCACTGTTGGGTATTTCCGAGAGGGCTAATAATAGGGAGATTCTCACAAATGAGTCATGAGTCAACCATATAAGAGAATATGACATCACCTTCAACCCAAAACTTAAGGCATTAGGTTATGGGTCTTTCTCACTTATAAGTTACTCAATTTTTTCCATTTTTACCCAATGAGGAACTTCAAACTCACACTTGAATTCTCAATATATAAATCGTAAATCCACTCAAACGCATAAACGGATAATCACAAACTACAACAATTCAATTTTAATAACAATCTAGTGGAGACATTCATGCAATAATGTGATTGAGATCTCAAAAAATAATCACGGATTCAATTTTAACATAAAAGAAGAGACACATATAACATTAACCTCAATTATACAAAAAACGCTCTAAAACTCGAATTCAATCGGAGAGAAACGTCAACTACCACAAATGAGACACAATATAGGTGTTTTTGTCACTCATTGTTGTCGAAATGTACCTTGAGAGGAGCTGGTTTGGTCATTGTCACCATCATCATTCAAAAACCCTTGGGAGTCACCGACCTCTAAGAGATCCGACGTAAAAGTAGAGTCCTTTATTTACAAAAATGTCACCTCATTTATTTTAAGTCGATTATTTTTTTATCTAACGAGAATGTGACGTAAAAAACTTATTTTGCACTAGTGTCTTTAAAAAAAATTATTTTCACTTTTTTCTTAGTTATACATTAAATAATATCTTTAAAATGTAAATTTATTTAAATAAACTTTTCTTTTCAGAAATTGTAAAAATATTAATCGAAATAAAATATTATAATATTTCTATGCTAATTACCTGGAGCAAAATAAACCTAAAAATATACTAATTTATGTATAAAGTTATATAAATTGAATTTTCATTTAATTTTTTAAGTTTTCTTTATTCGCATATTTATTAGTTTATCACGGATTTTAAATAATCAAATTATTTAAAAGTTTAAAAATAAAAAAAATAGAATATGAAAGAAAATATTGAAATCCCATATAAATGAATTGCTCAATAATAAAATATATAAATATATTATATTTCTTAAAAAAAATACAAAAACGCAAATAATATTGAAATCACATTTTTTAAAAATCATATATATAATTTTTTTTATAAAGTTGATTATATTTTTGTTTCTTTTTTTCTCATCTATATTTTTTATAAATCAATTATTTTATTTTAACTTTCTACCAATAATGGATCATGTGAGACACGTAAGTCTTCTTGACTATGGCAGACAGGCATGTGCATTAACACATAGAAAAGAAAAAAAAAATTAATGCATATCTTTTTTTTTTAACGTTGCCAAAAGTACATACAGATATATAATAGAGAATCACTTCAATGTATATTTTATAGATTATTATTATATATTATAATTATTTAAAGAGAATGATTAAATATATGTACTATTTAAGGTTTGAGTTATTATTAATATATATATATATATATATATATATATTATTTTATATGTTTATGGACTCAAGAAAACAGAAAACATTTGAATAAAAATAAAAATTAAAAGATTATTATATGTTTTCAGATTTACATGAAAATTTAATAAATAAATAACCAAATGACTTCATATGAGTATGTATCACTCTTAAAAAAATAACTATTATTTTAAAATTTTCTTACAAAAATTTATAAAAAATATTTGTAATTTTTTATAAAATAATTTTTACAAAAAATATTTTATGATTTTTTATTTAAATTTTGTCACATGAAATCTTTGTGAATACTTATAAGTAATTTTTTAAAAAACTTGTAAATTTTTTAAAAATATTTTTCAGATATAAATTTACATATAATAATATTTTAGTAAATGATAAACAATATTTTTAGGATATTTTTTACAAATTGATTTTACAGAAAAATAAAATACCATTTTAATTTATTATATTTTTAAATCTAACAAACTAGGAGAATAAACCCAGATAAAAAAAATTATTTTATGATTTTTTAAATTATTTTTACTAAAAAATTAAATATTATTTTCATTTATTATATTTACTGAACCTTTATTTTCTTTTTCTCTTTTTCTAAAACCCTTCGTCCGTAGCATCATAAACACGAACCAGGTCAGTCAACCAACCTCCAGTAGCCGTCGGAGCTTGACAGAGAAAGACATCCGCGGCAGCTGCTCGAACCTGAGAAACCAGAGACAACGCAACGCGATCCCGTTCCCCTCTGTGGATTTTTATCGTGAATGATAACGCCATACCTATAGAAATTTGAAAAACAAGAAGAAAAAGAGAGTAATATTAAGATCTCAGAATGGTCATGTTTTTTGCACAAAAAAATAAATAAATTTCAAAACAATATTTCAATCCATGTTATTATAAACATGAATTCAAAAGGACATGAATTTCAAACGACATAAATTTCAAAGAAGACCATAATAATAAGAATTGATTTTAAATATGATATCATTACATATTACATGTATAATAGACGTGAATTTCAAAAAAATTATAATAAGAATTGATTCTAATCATACTATAATTAGATATTAGATACAGTGAGACGAGAAGTCTTAGGGGTAACACAACTTTTCTTGCAGGACTAACGTTTCATGCAATTTTTTTGGGAAAAATCACTAGTGCAGAATAGGGTTTTTACGCCACCCAATTGTCGTCGCATGCATGTATATTCGACGTAAATAAAACGCGGTGACAATTTTATAAATATGGGACAAAAATTTTACGTCGCACATCCCAGTATGCGACGTAAAAAGCCTCTTTTACGTCGCACCTGGGAGGCGCGACGTAAAAGATGACCTTTTACGTCGCGTGCTGGGATGCGCGACGTAAAAAGTCTATTTTATTTCCCTCCAGACCCACTTCCTCGTCTCGCGCAACCAGGGTTTTTGAGAACGACGACGAGAACGACGACAACAGCTACCTCTGCACACCATTTTCGAGCAGTTTTACAGTGAAAAACATCTACATTATCGTGTCATTTGACGAACTTGATCTTTCTCCCCGATTGGATTCGAGTTTGAAATCAGTTTTCGTCTACACTCGAGGTTAGTGTTCTATGTCATTGCTATATGTTTACATTGAATCTGTGATTGTTTTTGGGGATCTCAATCACATTATAGTATGAATGTCTCCACTGGATTGTTATTGGAATGTAATTATTTGTTTATTTGTTTGAGTGCATTCGGTTTACACACTCCATTGTTGTTGGAACGTGCTTTGTTGTTTGTATATTAATTTTTAAATCTCTAGGAGTGACGAAACTTTATAACATAATATGAATCGAAGTTGGATGAATGCACGTCGTATTAGTGAAGAGTACGAAAAGGGAGTTGAGGAATTTTTGAAATTTGCTAGTGAAAATGGAAAAGCTATGAAAGGGACATATTATTGTCCATGTGTTCGTTGTTTGAATCAAATTCGTCATAAACTTGAGGATATACGTGATCACTTGTTTGTTTATGGTATTATTAAGAGTTATACAATATGGACATGGCATGGAGAAATATTAGACATCCCAACTGTGTCAACTACGGACAATTTTGATGAAGGGATGGATGATAATCTAGAGGATATGATACGTGATATTGGTGAAGAAAATTTTATGAAAGCACATCTATATGATTCTTTGAAATCTGATTTTGCGCAACAATTGTACATAGGATGTAGTTTTACAAGATTATCAGCAACTTTAAAATTGTTTACTTTAAAAGCAAGAAATGGATGGACTCGATAAAAGTTTCACCGAATTATTGGAGTTGTTGAAGGAGATGCTTCCTGAAGATAATACATTACCTATTCGTAACTATGAGGCAAAGAAGATATTATGTCCAATGGGTTTAGAGTACAAGAAAATACATGCATGTCCTAATGATTGTATATTGTACAGAAATGGTTTTGCTAAATTAAAGATGTGTCTGACATGTGGTTTGTCGAGGTTCAAAAACAAAGTTGAGGAAAGTAGTGGTGAAGAAGAAGTAGATGGTCCCCCTGCTAAGGTGTTATGGTATTTGCCAATTATACCTAGGTTTAAAAGATTATTTGCCATAAAAGAAGATGCAAGAAACTTGACATGGCATGCAAATGGTAGAAAATGTGACAATCTTCTTCGACATCCAGCTGATTCTCCACAATGGAAAAGGATTGATGAAACCTTTCCAGAATTTGGTGCAGAGCCAAGAAACTTGAGAATTGGATTAGCTACAGATGGGATGAATCCTTATGGAAATTTAAGTAGTAAACATAGTTCATGGCCAGTTATGTTGATCATTTACAATTTGCCTCCTTGGTTATGCATGAAGAGAAAATATATGATGTTATCTATGATGATTTCAGGACCTCGACAACCAGGAAATGACATAGATGTATATCTTAGTCCTTTAATTGATGATTTGAAAATGTTGTGGGAAACAGGAGTGGATGTATTTGATTCATATCACGAAGTGAATTTCAGAGTTGCGTGCAATGTTATTTTGTACTATAAATGATTTTCCAAGCATATGGTAATTTGAGCTGGTTATAGTGTGAAAGGTCATTTAGCGTGTCCTATATGTCAAGAAGACACAAGTTATATCCAATTGAAACATGGACAAAAAATTACGTACAATAGGCATAGAAAGTTTCTAGTTGCTAATCATCCATATCGTAAAATGAAAAAAGCATTTAATGGATGTCGGAGAATGCGATTGCATCAGTACCACACAATGGTGAACAAGTATATGAGCAAGTGAAAAATATTAATATTGTGTTTGGAAAGACCCAAAAGAAATCCACTGAGAAAAACATTTGGAAGAAACAATCTATATTCTTCAATCTTCCTTATTGGTGTAAGTTGGAAGTTAGACACCGTCACTACTAGAAAAATGTCAAATAGTAATCGAAATCGATGACCGAAAAATTTAGTTACTATCGATGACCGAATCAAGTAACCAAATTATTATTTTTTAGTCTAGTAATCGAAATAGTAACCGAATTTTCGGTCACAAAAATCGATTATTATTTCAGATCACTTTATTATTTAATTTATTTTTTTAATTAATCTATATTTAATTTATGTAATTATTTACTACAAAAATGGTTAATAGTGACTCGAAATTAGTGACTCGATTTTTTTTTATATTTAGTAACCGATTTAGTGACTAAAATTTCAATCACTAAAAAAATAATTTTTAAACCGATAACTATTTTTCATTTATATAAATATTTTATTTAAAATATTTTAAATATAAATTTACTTAATGATTTAAAATAATTGATAACATTTTTAATAGAATTATAAATATTTAAAAAAATTGTTTACTAACTTATTAAATAATTTAGTAATATAATTATTTGATTTTATTTTTTAATTTAGCATGTGAATAAAAAAATTAAAATTGATTATTAAATTAGTCACCGAATCGGTCATCGATTCGGTCACCGAATCGGTCACTAATTCGGTCACTGATTCGATCATCGAATCGGTCACTAAATCAATAATTAAATTAATTATTAATTTAGTCTTTATATATATATATATATATATATATATATATATATTACTTGTATGTTAATAAAAATGTATTTCAATGTATTTATAAAAAATTAAAATTATTTTAATTACTGAATTGATTTTTTAAAATTTATATTAATATCTTGAATAATTTAATAGTTGGATATATATATATATATATATATATATATATATATATATATCACTTTAATTTTTTTAATTAAAATTAATTTCATAAAAAAATTAATATTTGAAAATTAAAATGCAAAAAAAATATATATATATATATATATATATATAAATTTATTTATTTTTTAAAGATGATATATTCAATGTATGTTAAAAAAGTTCAAGCCAAACTGCTTTTATAGAAGATTTTCAAAACTCGCTGGTTTAATTAATCTGTTAAAAGATTCTTTTAATATGTTAAAAGTGCAGCTTTAATCTGTTAAAACTTCTTTTAATCCATTAATACGTTCTTGATTCTTTAACGATTTGTTTTAACTGATACGACAACGTTTATATCAATTAAAACACTTTACAAAAAATCTTCTAAGTTGATTTAATCGATTGTTCGCGATTCAATCGATTGAAATACTCGCAAAACTTTCTCCTAAAACTTTTCAAGTTATTTTAATCGATAAAAATAAGTTTTAATCGATTAAAACGCTGTGCGTAGAACTGTTTTAATCGATTGAAACGAGATTTAATCGATTAAAATAGTTATGATCGGTCATAAATGCATTCTGACCGATCATAATTGAAACCATATAATAGCGGTTCAAGGGTTAACCGCTATCTAAGTCATATTTTAAGAGCGGTTCCTGTGTAACCGCTATCTAAACCTCATCTCGCTTGAGCGACAACATTCTCGCTCGAGCAAAACTCCCCCTGCACAAAATTAGTACTCTCGGGTTGTATTTCGCTTGAGCGAGCCTATCTCGCTCGAGCGATAGTTGATTCTGATCGATTATATTTTCGAAATGATCGATCATATTTGATAATTTTTTCAAATATTTAATTATAATCGATTAGTTTTCTAAATTATTGATTAGAATTGATTAGTTTTTCAAATAATAGATTAGAATTGATTAATTTCGAAATATATACTAAAAAATATAATTAAAACTATAAATTAGTTAAGAATATTGATTATTGTAAAGATAAAGTAGAACATGGGAGGAGATGAGGATGATATAATATAATGATAGAACTTACAAAAATGTAGATAATACTAGTTTTAATTACACTTTTAATAAATTTAAGATAATACTAGTTTTAATTTTTATTTTTAAATATTTATTTTAAATATTTAAAACAGAGAAACTATAATTTTAGTTTCTAGCTACTGAATTTAAAGAATTAAATTTATTATTTAATCTTTTAATTTGTAGAATTAAACTCAATATAATTGTTAAAAATACTTTGTAGAGGCATTTGAGAAAGCTTTTGTCAAAATACTTTGTTTTTAATTGTTAAAAACATTTGTAGAGGCATTTTGCAAAACATGATTGAGATGATATGATAGCGGTTCCACCTTAACCGCTATCTAAAGTATAATTAAGATAGCGGTTAATGGTTAACTCGCTATTAGAAGTTCACTTTTAAGAGCGGTTCCTGTGAAACCGCTATCTAAAATGTATTTCGCTTGAGCGACAATATTCTCGCTCGAGCGAAACTCCAAGTGCACGAATTCGCATTCTCGTGTGTATTTCGCTTGAGCGACACTACTCTCGCTCGAGCGAAATAC